GAACCGAGGCAAAGTCTATATCCTCGGTACCTGCAGGGAATGGCTCCTCCATCTCGAGTGGCAGCCTGGGTGGGGGATCTAGGTCGAACGGCGGCAGCACTGTTCCACCCATGACATCCTGGATCGACGACTCAAGTCCCCTCCGCTTCTTCTCCAGCTCCGCCAACAGCTCATCCTCCTCCGTCCGAGGCCGCTTCCCAGCAGCCCGGGCTGCTGTCCCCTCGGTGGTACTGGGCGCCCCCTTTGCCTGCTTCTTGGCCCTATTGGCCCTATCTTTCTCTCTTCTCTCCTGCAACTTTCGTTGCCTCTCCTCCGGATCCACCACCACCTTCGGTGACGACTCAACCACGGTCACCACCTTCTTCGGCCCCTCAGCCACTGCAAAAACAAAACCGAAGCAAAGGTGAGCAGATATACAAAAACAAACATATAAAAGAGAGGGAGTAGGCCAATACTTACTTCCTTGAAGCAACCCCGACTGTAGAAGAAGAGTTGGTGTCACAATATTCTTCAGCTCACGCGCCTCCTGGGTCACCTGTCTCCTCACCAGCTCTATCTCTTCCTCTTCCTCCCTGGACACTGGCCTACACTTCACGGAACCTGAACATGGATGAAGGCGTTAGCTTTCCCAAGCTTCGGACGACAATACATATTCATACCAACACATTCAACACAAAGACAGGAGTTATAACCAAAGACCTATAGATTGAAAGTGGGTAGGCACATGTTTGCTGACAGTCGTCCCAGGCCAGCACTCCCAATCACCAAAGGCAAAGAACCACCGATTTCGCCACGTGTTCTGGGACGATGATGGTTGCCCTATAAAGTATCCTCTTTCCTTCGCCTTTCGACAGTTGACCTGCACCCCGCCAAAGTTGCCCTGTTGCCTGGACACTGAGTACAGATGCATGAATTGCTCAAAGGAGGGCTCCCCTCGTTTCGCCAACCACCATGCTATGTACACCCCGTGCAGTATACACCAGAAATTGGGATTACACTGCCCAGGGGCATAGCCCAGTCTGGAAAGCATCATTTGCACCCAAGGATGCAAAGGTAACCTCAATCCATGTTTGTACATGGCTGAGAACACCACAACGCAACCCTCAGGGGGGTATCTAGCCGCTTCGGTAGGTATGGGCAACCTCAACCCCACACAATCAGGTATCGCATAATCTGCATTCAGTGACTCTAGATCATACAGGCTCATCACATTTTTCTTCGGTAGTGGAACCCCTATTGGAACGCCCACATCGGCGGATGCTACTACCACCGTACCACACCCCGATGGCCCAGCCCGCCCACTTGCACTAGCTTCTGGTGCCTGGGTTATCCCCAACACCCGGTTTTCACAAGCTTCTAAGGTCACATAGTTCCTTTGCATCTCCCTATAAGCTTCCCCCCCAGAACTCCTTGACTGCTCCTCCCCCCCAACCCTATTTCCCTCCACTATCAGCCCCTCCACCACACGTTCAGACCCAGTACTTTCCCCATCAGTACCCAAGTCTTCATCATGGCTACCACTCTCAAACTCTTCCCCACTGAAGGCATGGGGACTTGGAGAGCTTTGACTTCCCCTTTCAGAATTATCAGACATCTACAAACACAAAAAGGGAAACTAAGGGGCATGCGAAGATTGAAAACAAGAGCCTAGGCATGTTCTTAATATGTTCATGGAAGTTCATCTACGTTCATACCGAATTCATGAAAAACTCAAGCAAAAGGGGCATTTCAATCCAGAAAGGGAGAAGGAATACAAGGCATACCTTGTTATCACCACCGCCCACAGTTGTCAGAAATCGCCTAGCTCACGAAGGTACCTTTTCCTGCCTCGCCGGAAATCGCTCCGCCCCCCCTGAATCCTATCGGAAATCGCCCTTTCTCGTCTACTAAAATCTTTCGAAAACTCTAAGTGCTCATTCCTTCAGCCCTCCACAATCTTTTAAAGGCATACAAAGGACCCCTCGATTCTTGCTCCAAGCCATAACTCATCATACCGTTGGGACGCCTCGATTTCCACGCTCAGACGTTTCTATACCACTGCCACATGGAACCGGTGACGTCACACCTTCCCTTCGAAAGGCATGATGACGTCACACCTTCCCTTCGGAAGGC